ACTGTGATGGCACGGCCCCCCGCCCCTCACATCTACTAGAGTCCCAGGGGTCGGCAAACTCATCCGTCCACAGAGCCAACTCTCAACAGGACGACAATTGACATTTCTTTGGAGAGCCACATTTTTTTTAAACTTAACTTCTTCTAACGCCACTTCTTCAAAATAGCCTCACCCACACTGTGTTATTTTGTGGAAGAGCCACACTCAAGAGGCTTTTCTCAAGAAATGCAGTTTGCTGAGCCCTGTAGATAAGCAAGAAGGAAAGTGAAAATTAAAAACACCGCTTCTCGGAAATCCCTGGCTTCCTAGAAGAGGTGCTGAGGACCACTGGCATTTCTGTGCCAGGAATTTTGAAAGCCCGACCTTTTCACCTTCTCAAGGTCCCTGCTCTGGCCAGGGCACGGAGGCTGCAGACAGGTGGCCGGGGGCGGGGCGGGGCGAGGGCGGGGCTTGCGCCTGTGCCTGGTTAGAAATACCCGATGGCCACAGGCCACTGGCCACTTCCCTCGCTGCCCTCGCAGCCTGGACGGACACTCACGGTGCCCCGTGGACCTGGCGGCCCCGGAGAGGTAAGGACTCTCGGGCTGCAGTGGGAGCGGGTGAGGCACAGGCAGAGGAGGGAGGCTGCCTGGGGGCCTGAGGGGTCAGCTAGGGACAGGAGCTGTGGTCAGGGCTGCTGGGGTTCAAGTCCCTGTCCTGCTAGCTACCAACTTTGTGAGCCTGGGGAGGGTTTGAAGTTGAAATTCATTTTTTTCTCTTTTAATTGAATTTTAGAGAGGGAGGGAGAGAAACAGAATAGAGATAGAGATAGAAACATTGGTTTGTTTTTCCGTTTATTTATGCATTCTTGGGTTGATTCTTGGGTTGATTCTTGGGTTGATTCTTGGGTGTGCCTGACTGGGGCTCCAACCCACAACCTCAGCCTATGGATGATGCTCTAACTGAGCCACCCGGCCAGGACTGCAGTTCAAATTCTTCAAAAAACCAGGACAGGCGTCTCCCTCTCAGGAAAACCTGATGAAGGCTGTGATATGACCAACCAAGCTGAGTCTCCACCACCTGCCACCTTGGCCTTCCTGGGCGGGGACCCCAGGGTCCTAAAGGGAGAGGGCCTGGCTCCCAGAATGCAGGAGACCACAGGTGAGCATTTTCCTGGTAGCTCCCTGCAGGCGAGGTGCAGGGGTGTGGTCTCTGCAGAAGCAAAGGGGCTGGATGAATTGTGGGAAAACGCAAAGCCAACACCAGTGCCTCCTGGGCTGTAGGTTTCTTTGGGATATCCAGCCCTGGGAGGAGGGGGCCGGTCCCACGCTGTGTTTTCAGGGTCACCCCCGTTTCTTAGGGTGGAGGCTGGGGGAGCTGGTTTGTGGAAAGGGACCTTCAGGCAACAGAAGTAGGAACCCTCAGACGGGCTGGCGTGGCTCCGTGGCTGAGCATCAGCCTATGAGCCGGCTGGATTCCCAGCCAGGGCACATGCCAGGGTCCTGGGCTGGATCCTAAGTGTAGGGCGTACAGGAGGCAGCCAGATCAATGATTCGCTTTCATCATGGATGTTTCTATCTCTCTGAAATCAATTTTAAAAAAAAAATTAAAGAAAAGAAATATGAGCTCTCAAATGAAGCCCTTATCTAGTCATCAACCCCATTGTCTCCTCTCACATCTGGGGAGGTCAGTAGGGAGGGGACCTGTCCAGACCCAAGAGCTCCCTGGTGGCTCCTCTGCCCTTAGTCCGCCCGGTAGGACTAACATGAGAACTGGGGGTGTCACAGGTGCTGGCAGAGAAGGGCTTCAGGGAAGTTTCTCAGCCTCAGCACCACTGTCGTCCTGGCTGGAGTCATTCTCTTGTGGGGCCGCCCTGAGCAGTACAGGGTTGAGCAGCATCAGATGCCAGTAGCACCTTCACCTCCCACCAATGTCTACAGACATTACCAATCTCCCCTGTGGAGATTGAGATCAACTGGAATCACGCTGGGCTCTCCCACTTACCAACTGTGTGACATCGGTCTCCTTGTGCCTCAGTATCCCCATCTGTAAAATGGGAATAATATCAATTTCTCAGCGTCAGAGAGGATTACAGGTGCCTAAAGTAAGTAGGTGCATGTCTGGCTTAAATCATAGCCATGGGCACCCCGGAGCCAAATCCCCCCAACCCAGCTTTATAAACTAGAGGAGGAGAAAACCTTTTTTTTCTTCTTGAAGAAAACTCTTTGAGGCATTAATTCTACCTGAAAGACTATCCCAAAGAAATCACCAAACATGTGACCAACATGTCTGGAAGGATCTAAAGTTATTTATAAAAGAAAAACTGAAACTGCAAACAGCCCAGAGATGCCAGCAGGGGAGCGATTAAATGCGAAAGGATACCTCCACGGGGGAAACGCTGCACGGCCTCTGCGCTGTCTGAAACGCTTTAGTGACATGAGGAGCCACTAGAATATAATGTTACGTGACAACAATTCATGCAAAACCGTAGGAGCAGCGGGAGTCTAAATTGTTTTTGCTTGTAGAATAAACGGCTGGCGGTGCTTATTTCTGGGGAGTGAGAGTGCAGATGCGTCAGATTCTTTGTGTCTACAATGTCTATTGTAAATCTGCATTTGTTGAAATAATTAGAGGAAAACGGGCTAGAAGGGTTTTGGTAATGTCAAAATTGGTAAAGGAGGATTTATTTTCTAAGATTTTTAGAAGTCGAACAGGAGGAGGAGAGGGGGAAGGAGGAGGTCATGAGAGTGTGGGCTTATCTAGAAGATGCCATGATGCCATTTCTCCATAAGCCCCGGAGCGAGTGCCAAGGACAAGGGCGTGGGGGTGTGGAGGTGGAGGAGGGGGCGGAGATGGGGGGGGCAGAGATGAGAGCCAGCCGTTCCTTTCCTAAGGCTGTGATAGCAACAGGACCACACACTGGGAGGTCTGGAACCACAGAAATGTATTCTCTCACAGTTCTGGAGACCAAGGTGTGAGCAGCGCCAGTGCCCCCTGCAGGCGCTGGAGGAGAATCAAGCCTTCCTTGCCTTCTGCAGCTTCATGTTCCCTTCCCCCTGCCCCGGAGTTCTTGGCTCGGGCCAGTCCAGTCCCTGAGCATAAGGACCCCTTGTGCCTCCCTTTCCACCTCTGCTTCCCTCACTGCCTTGCGTCTTTTCCGTGTCCCTCTATGTTCTCTCCTCTTAGAAGAAGGATTTAGGTCCACCCTCAACCACCTAGGATGGTTTTTATCTCAAGATCCTTAACTAATTACATCTGCAAAGACCTCCTTTCAAATAAGGTCACATTCTGAGGTTCCAGCTGGACACAGAATTTGGGGGCACATTACCGGTATGCAACCCACTCCAGGAAGCAAGCAGTCTTTAAAACGTGTGTTGGGATCACAAGCGGGCACAGCGCTGAGACAAAACGTACAGGAGGGTGTGCGGTGACAAGCCAGCGTGTCTTTCAGCCCTGACCTTAACAGGGTGGACCAGCTTCCTGTCCGCACAAGCACAGGGGTCTTTTTTGTACACAAGGGAAGCATCTCTGCAGGGTCTGCTCCCTGCCTTTGCACTTAGCATGTCTATGGGAGGGCCCTCCACAACTACCTCTTTTGGTTTCATGGCTGTGTATCATGTCATTGCTACATAACTTATGTCACCAATCCACTTTAAAAGATTGCGGGGTGCTCCTTTTTTGTGTGTGTCTGCTACTTAAAAACTAGTCGCCTGGTGCACAAAATTCATGCACTGGTGGTGATGGGTGTCCCTCAGCCCAGCCTGTACTCTCTCCAATCTGGGACCCCTTGGGGGATGTCCAACTGCTGGACATCCCTCTCACAATCTTGGACTGCTGGCCTGCCTGCCTAATCACCCCTAACCACTCCCCTGCTGGCCCGGTCACCCCCAACTGCCCTCCCCTGCTGGCCCAATTGCCCCCAACTGACCTCCCATACCAGCCCATTTGCTCCAAACTGCCCTCCCTTGCTGGCTATCTTGTGGTGGCCATCTTGTGACTATATGGGTTTGGCCACTTTCGGACCACATGAGGCAGCCATCTTGTGTGAGGGTGTGATGGTCAATTTGTATATTATCTCTTTATTATATAGGATAGACTATTTTTTTTTTTAGGTTCACAGCAAAATTGAGGTGAAGAAACAGAGATTTCCATATATCTCCTGCCCCCACACTTGCACAGCCACCCCCATTATCAGCATTCCCTACTGAGCCCACACTGACTCATCATTATCACCAGAAGTCCGTAGTTTGTATTAAGTTTCAATCTTGGTGTTGTGAATTCTGTGGGTTTGGATGAATGTATAGTGACATGTATGACACAGAACAGTTCAATTTCCTAAAAATTCTGTGCTCCACCTACTCACCCCTCCCTTTTCCCAATCCCTGGCAACACCTGATCTTCCCATTTGCACAGTTTTGCCTTTTCCAGAATGTCTCATAGTCAGAATCAGAGAGAGTGTAGCATTCTCTGACTGGCTGCTTTTACGTAGTAACAGGCATTGAAGGTTCCTGCATGTCTTTTCATAGCTTGACAGCTCATTTCCTTTAGCATCAAATAATATTCCATTGTCTGGATGTCCCGCAGTTTATTCATCCCCTCACCTACTTACTGAGGTCATCTTAGTGGCTTCCACACATTGGCAACCATAAATAAATCTGCTGTAAGCATCCCAGTGCAGGTTTTTGTGTGAACATCAATGTTTAATTCCTTTTGGGTAACATACCAAGAAGCACAGTTGCTGGATTGTATTGTAAGAGTATGTTTAATTTTGTAAGAAACTGATTCACTGTCGTCCAAAGTGACCGTGCCATTTTGCATTTCCATCAGCGATGACCAAGAGTTCCTGTTGCTCCACATCCTCACCAGCATTTGATGTTGTCAGTGTTCTGGATCTTGGCCATTCTCATACATGCATGCTGTGTATTTAAGTGTGAATTTTGAGAAAATTGGCCCGGCCAGCATGGCTCAGTGGTTGAGCGTCAACCTGTGAATCAGGAAGTCATGGTTCGATTCCTGGTCAGGGTACATACCTGTGCTATATTCCCAGTGTGGGGTGTGCAGGATGTTTCTATCTCTCTCTCCCTCTTCCTTCCTCTCTTGAAATCAATAAAAATATATTTTAAAAAAATTTTTTTGAGAAAAGTATAGATTCCCATACAGAGAGATCCCACATACCTCCCTTTACCCACTTCCCCATCAGCAATGGCTTACAGAACTCTATCACAACTAAGAAGTGGATGTGGACACAAACCACTTCCTCACATCTCACCAGCTCTCCTCCACTCATTTGTGTGTGCGTGCATGTAGCTCTATGAAACTTTTCAGACATGCAGATCTGTGTGGTCGTGGTCACAGTTAATCTGCAGAAGTTCCATCATGAGAACCCCTTGTGCTACCGTTTCCTGAATGCAGCCACCTCCCTGGCCTGCTACCCCTTGGCTCATCCTGTAGGTTTAACTTTCTAAGCCTCTGCTTCCGCTGCAATCACTTGTAAGTAGTGCATGTAGTTGGATATTGCCTTCTGACCCAATCGAAGACTCTTTTTCTTTAATAGAGGATTTGTATCCTGTTCATAATTAGGAAAAAATGCAGAAACTACTGTCCTGCAACATTTATGGAGAGAGGCAGTGTCCTTGTGACCTTACAGGTGAGGAAAGGGAAACTGAGAGCAGTGAGTTTCCTTGAAATCACAGAACTGGTGAGAGACGGAGGCAGGCTGTGATCCATTTAACCACACTCACTCTATACTAATGCCAAGGTCAGCCTTTTCCTCCCGCAGCGTGAGACACATCAGCCAGACGCCCCATCACTATGAATTTGGAAAAGACCCGAGAGATCATTTCCGACGTGGCAACTACAGAGACATGTCCAGTCTTCGAAGGTAAGCTCCCCCTCCCAGCCGCTTGCATTGGAGGGAAAAGCAGAGTCCAGTGACGTCTTTGTAAGAGAACGATGGCGAGCAGAATGGCCCAAAACACGTGAGAATTCAAGGTTACACAAACACCCACAGTCACATACACACACCCTTCACTGGATCCCAACACTCGTTCCTAGTTCTGTCCTTCGCCAGCTGCCGCCTCTCTGCTGCCTGGCTGATCTGGTGGCGTCCTCCAGGGCTCAACCTTGCGCCATTCTTGGCTTCTGCCACTCTCTCCCCAGGGTTCACATGCAACTTAAATATATAAATTATTAAATATATAAAATTATTTATTTCAGAGATGAAGAGAGAGCGAGAAAGAGAGAGGGATAGAAATGTCAACGATAAGAGAGAATCATCGATCAGCTGCCTCCTGCACGCCCCCTTTGGGGCTTTAGTCTGCAAACTGAGCATGTGCCTTGACCGGGAATCAAACCACAACCTCCTGGCTCATAGGTGGGTGCTCAAGCACTGAGCCACTCAGGTGGGGCTCACGTGCAATGTTGGGGCTTTAACTACTTTCCACGCTGTTGGCTCCCACGTTTGCTCACCCAGTCAGAATGAGACTCAGCTATGCGCATCAGCATCACTCTAATCAGGTATCTCAAACTCAGTCCACCCCAACATGAACTCAAAGCCCCGCCCAGAAAACTCTTACCCATCTCAGTAGATGGGCTCTTCCCTGTTACAGTCCTTCAGGCCCCAAATGTGACTCACCCTGAGGTCACCCTTGACTCTGCTCTCGCCCATCCCACATCCACTGACAAATCCTGTGGAACCCTTCAAATCCACCATGTTTATCATTTCTATCAGCCTGCTTCAAGCAGCTGCCGCCTCTTGCTCTGACCATTGCAATAACTTCCGAAGAGTTCAGCCCGTTTCCTCTCTTGCAAACCTAGTCTGTTTTCCAGCCCAAGCACTTGTTTTCACACCTACCTTAAATCGGGGCCATTGCCAGACCACGTGGTGACTTAGGGCTGGTTAGGAAAAGTGGATACAGCTCTGTGAACCCATAGCTCTACAAATGGATGACCACCTGGTGCAGTCAATCAACCAACCAATCAATCAAAGTGCCCCTCTTTCTTGACTGACACACACCTCCCCCGATCCCTGACCCCCAGGTCTCACCACCTACCAAGCAGATTCTGGGAGGGTTTCAGACCCCTCACCCCCCTGTGTGTTTAGATGGGGCTTTTTGCAGCTCTCATGATATTATTATGTCCTTGGGACTATGACTGATATACAAAGGGGCCTTATAAATTGTTGCCATGTCCTGTGTAGATGATATTTTAATCATTAAATCAATCCGATATAATGAAAGCCAAATATTCTGAGTGTCTGGTCATCTGGTGACTAGACAACTGTCCAACCAATTAAAATGTAATCTATAGTAATAAAAGCATAATATGCTAATTAGACTGGACAGCCAAATGTCCTTCTAGATGTCAACCTTGACATCCTTCTGGACAAAGCCGCTGCAATGGAGGCTGAGGCAGAGGTGCTTAGGGGCAATCAGGGAAGCAGGAGAGTGGTTAGGGGTTATGAGGCAGGCAGGCAGGTGAGCAGTTAGGAGCCAATGGTCCCGGATTGCAAGAGGGTGCAGGCCAGGGCACCCCACCCCTGCACGAATTTCATGCACTGGGCCTCTAGTTTGTTCATAATAGCCAATGGCTGGAAGCTATCTAAATCTAAATCTAAATATATATATATATGGCTAATATGCAAAGTGTCCCCCCAGGAGTTTGACAGGGAGACCGGGCGTTCAATCACGTGTTATGACATGCGCTGACCACCAGGGTGTGGCAAGGATGTGCATGGAATGAAGGAAGGCCCCGGCCGGCAGCCAGAAGTCCTCGATTGGCCCTGATCACATGCCAGGCCTACGAACCCTTCCCGTGAATGAATTCTTTGCACCAGGCCTCTAGTATCAATTGATAAAAGAATAAACAACCTAAACGTATCCATTGACAGGAGAATAGATAAGCAAATTGTGGTGTATTTATATAATGAACTAATGCATCCCAAACATTTTTTTTTTATAATATATTTTTTTTTATTAAATTATTATTTTTGGACATATACCAATGCCCCCCCTCCCGTACATATCCTCCCTCCCCAGAGTTTTGTGTCCATTGGTTGTACTTATATGCATGTATACAAATCCTTCGGTTGATCTCTTATCTCCCCCAGATCTCTCCAACCTCCCTGCTGTAATTTGACAGTCTGCTTGTTGCTTTACTGTCTCTACATCTATCTTTTGGTTCTTCAGTTTATAATGTTCTTTATCATGCATAAATAAGTGAGGTCATGTGGTGTCTCTTTCATTGACTGGCTTGTTTCACTCAGCATGATGTTCTCCAATTCCATCCAGGTTGCTGCAAACAACAAGAATTTTTTCTTTTTTTTGTGGCAGCATAATATTCCATTGTGTAAATGTACCATGGTTTTTGGATCCAATCAGCTGCTGATGGGCACCTAGGCTGTTTCCAAATCCTAGCTATTGTAAATTGTGCTGCTATGAACATAGGGGTGCATATATCCTTTCTGATTGTTGTTTCTAGCTTCTTGGGATATATTTCTAGGAGTGGGATTACTGGGTCAAATGGGAGTTCCATTTTCAGTTTTTTGAGGAAGCTCCATACTGTTTTCCACAGCGGTTGTACCAGTCTACATTCCCACAAGCAGTGCACGAGGGTTCCTTTTTCTCCGAAACCTCGCCAACACTTGTCGTTTGTTGATTTGTTGATGTTGGCCATTTTGACAGGTGTGAGATGGTACCGCATTGTTGTTTTGATTTGCATTTCTCAGATAATTAGTGACTTTGAGCATGTTTTCATGTGCCTCTTGGCCTTCCTTCTGTTTTCTTTTGAGAAGATTCTATTTACATCCATTGCCCATTTTTTAATTGGGTCATTTATCTTCCTTTTATTAAGTTATATAAGCTGTCTATAGATGTTGGAGATTAAACCCTTATCAGTGATAACATTTGCAAATATGTTCTTCCATACAGAGGGCTTTCTTGTTGTTTTGTTGATGGTTTCCTTTGCTGTAAAAAAACTTTTTATTTTGATGTAGTCCCATTTGTTTATTTTCTCTTTAGCTTCCATTGCCCTAGGGGAAGTATCAGTGAAGAAGTTCTTTTGGCACATGTCTGAGATTTTGGTGCCTGTGGATGCCTCTAGTATTTTTATAGTTTCCCATCTTATGTTTTCATTTTGAGTTTATTTTTGTGTATGGTGTAAGTTGGTGATCCAGTTTCATTCTTTTGCATGTATCTGTCCAATTTTCCCAACACCATTTATTGAAGAGACTGTCTTGACTCCATTGTATGCTTGTGCCTCCTTTGTCAAATATTAACTGAGCATAGTGATTTGGGTTGATATCTGGGTTCTCAATTCTATTCCATTGATCTATCTGTCTGTTCTTGTGCCAGTACCAGGCTGTTTTGAGAACAGTGGCTTTGTAATTCAGTTTGAAATCTGGTATTGAGATCCCTCCTACTTTACTCTTCTTTCTCAGGATTGCTGTGGCTATTCGGGGTCTTTTGTTGTTCCAAATGAACTTTTGAAGAGTTTTTTCTAGGTCAGTGAAATATGCCATTGGTATTTTAATGGGGAGTGCATTGAACCTATAGATTGCTTTGTGAAGTATGGACATTTTGATTATGTTGATTCTACCAATCCATTAACATGGTATGTTCTTCCATCTGTTTACATCTTCCTCTATCTCTTTTTTCAGTGTTGTGTAGTTTTCCGCGTATAGGTCTTTTACCTCCTTAGTTAAGTTTATTCCAAGGTATCTTAATTTTTTTGGTGCGATGGTAAATGGGATTGCCTTTTTAGTCTCTGTTTCAGCAAGTTCACTATTGGTATATAGAAATGCCATGGATTTCTTGGCATTAATTTTGTATCCTGCTACATTGCCAAGTTCATTTATTAAGTCAATTAGTTTTTTAATGGAGTCTTTTGGGTTTTTTATGTACAATATCATGTCATCTGCAAATAAGGATAACTTTACTTCTTCTTTTCCAATTTAGATGCCTTTTATATCCTCTTCTTGTCTAATTGCAATGGCTAGTACTTCCAGTACTATGTCAAACAGGAGTGGTGAGAGTGGGCAACCCTGTCTTGTTCCTGTTCTTAGAGGGAATGGTTTTAGTTTTTACTCATTGAGTCTGATGTTGGCTGTGGGTTTATCATATATAGCTTTTATTATGTTGAGGTATGATCCTTGTACTCCCACCTTGTTGAGAGTATTTGTCAGGAAAGGGTGTTGGATTTTATCAAATGCTTTTTCTGCATCAATTGATATGACTATATGATTTTTATCTTTCAATTTGTTTATGTGATGTATCACGTTTATTGATTTGCGAATATTGTACCATCCTTGCATTCCTGGAATAAATCCTACTTGGTTGTGGTGTATGATCTTTGTGATGCTCTGCTGGAGCCAATTTGCTAGAATTTTGTTGAGGATTTTGGCATCTATGTTCATAAGGGATATTGGACTGTAATTCTCTTTCATTGAGTTGTCTTTATCTGGTTTTGGTATTAGGGTGGTGCTGGCTTCATAGAAGGAGTTTGGAAGTGTTCCTTCCTCTTGGATTTCTTGGAATAGTCTGAGGAGGATAGGTTTTAGTTCTTCCTTGAATGTTTGGTAAAACTCCTGTGAAGCCATCTGGCCCTGGGCTATTGTTTGCTAGAAGCTTTTTGACGACTGTTTCAATTTCTTCCCAAGTTACTGTTCTGTTGAGATTTATAGATTCTTCCTGATTGAGTTTTGGAAGATTGTATTTCTCTAGGAATATGTCCATTTCCTCCAGGTTATTCAGTTTGTTGGAATAGAGTTGTTCGTAGTATTTTGCAACAATCCTTTGTATTTCGGTGGGGTCTGTTGTTACTTCACCTCTTTCATTTCTGATTTTGTTTATTTGGGTCCTCTCTCTTTGTTTCTTGGTGATCCTGGCTAGAGGTTCATCTACCTTGTTTATCCTTTCAAAGAACCAGCTCTTGGTTTTGTTGATCTTATGTATTGTTTCTTTGTTCTCTATGTAGTTTATCTCTGCTGTAATTTTTGTTATTTCCTTCCTTCTGCTTACACTGGGCTTTTCTTGTTGCTCTTTTTCTAACTCTTTGAGTTGTAGAGTTAGATCATTTGTTACCATTTTTTTCTAGTTTTTTGCAATAAGCTTGTAGGGATATGAATTTGCCTCTCAAATCTGCTTTTGCTGTGTCCCATAGATTTTGGATTGTTGTGTTTTCATTGTCATTTGTTTCCAGGATGTTTTTAATTTCTGCCTTGATTTCTCTGGTAACCCAGTCCTTGTTTAATAGCATGCTGTTTGGTCTCTATGTGTTTGATTTCTTTGGATTATTTTTATTGTAGTTAATTTCCAGTTTTATGCCATTATGATCTGAGAAGATGTTTGATATGATTTCTATCTTCTTGAATTTGAAGAGACTTTGCCTATGTCCCAACATATGGTGTATCTTTGAAAATGACCCATGTGCACTTGAGAAGAATGTATATTCTGTGGCTTTGGGGTGGAATGTTCTGAAGATATCGATTAATTCCATCTGGTCTAGTGAGTCATTTAGGATTGATATTTCTTTGGTGATTTTTTGTTTAGATGATTTGTCGAAGGATGAGAGTGGGGTATTAAAATCTCCTACTATGATTGTATTGCTATTAATCTCTCCCTTAATATCCTCCAGCAGTTTTATTGTTTTGTTTATTTTTTTAAATGTATTTGGGTGCTCCTGTATTGGGTGCATATATATTTACCAGCGTTATTTCTTCTTGTTGGATTATGAAGTTGCCTTCATTATGTCTTGTTATGTCCTTCACTCTGAGATCTAATTTGTCAGATATAAGTATTGCTACCCCAGCTTTTTTTCATTTCCATTTGCCTGGAAAACCTTTTTCCATCCCTTCACCCTCAGTCTGTGTGCATCTTTTTTTCTGAGGTAGGTTTCTTGTAGACAACAGATGTATGGGTCTTGTTTTCTTATCCAATCTGTTACCTTATGTCTTTTGATTGGAGCATTTAAACCATTTACATTTAAAGTTATTAATGATAGGTACTCATTTGATGCCATTTTTATTCTATACCCCTGTGTTCCTTCTTCACTTCCTATTTCTTTATTTTTATAGTAAACCCTTTAGCATTTCTTGCATTGTTGGTTTAGTGGAGATAAATTCCTTTAGTCTTTTTTTTTGTCTGTGAAGCTCCTGATTTCACCTTCAATTTTGATTGATAGCCTTGCTGGGTACAGTATTCTTGGATTCAGACCCTTCCTTTGATGACTTTGTATATTTCATCCCATTCCCTTCTGGCCTGATAAGTTTCTGTTGAGAAATCAGTTGTTAGTCTGATGGGGGTTCCTTAATATGTAACTTTCTGTCTCTCTCTGGCTGCTTTTAAGATTCTTACTTTGTCGTTGGTGTTTTCCAATTTAATTATAATGTGCCTTGGCGTCAGTCTTCTGGGATTCATTTTGCTTGGGACTCTGCGAGCATCTTGGATTTGTGTGGGTTTTTTCTTCTCTATCTCGAGAAAGTTTTCTGTCATTATTTCTTGAAATAGGTTTTCCATGTCTACCTCAGTTTCCTTTCCTTCCGGAACCCCTATTATTCGAATATTGTTTTGTTTTGCATTGTCCCAAAGCTCCCGTAGGCTCTCCTCCAGCTTTTTAATCTTTTTTTCTAGAAGCTGCTCTAATTGGGTATTTTTTTTCCATCTTGTCTTCTAGCTCACTGATGCGGTCCTCTGCTTCTTCTAGTCTGCTCTTGATGCTTTCTATTGAGTTCTTCATAGTAGCGATGTCATTTTTCATTTCTTCTTGGGTCATCTTCATTTCCTCTTGGTTTTTCTTCATTTCCTCTTGGGTCTTACTCATATTGTCAAATTTGTCTTCCATTCTTTTTAGCCATCTTGTGATCGTTACTCTGAATTCTTGCTCTGATAGGTTGCTTCCCTCTAACTCATTTACTTCCTTTTCTGGTGATGCATGTTTTCTTTCATTTGTGGGCTGTTTCTTTGTCTCCCCATGGTCTCTCTTTTCAGGATGTCTCATTCCTGCATTGATTTCTCTCTCCTGCGTTTATTTAAAGCACAAAATACAACACAACCAGGTACAACACACAAGGCACTGAACAGAAATGTATTTGCAATATTAATAACCTCCAATAAAGGTAACCACTAGGGAAAGGCAAATTAGGGAATAGGATAGAAAGAGGAAGAGTAAAAAGAGAAGAGAGATGGAGCAGAAGAAAAAGGGAGGAAAAAGAGTGTCAAAATGAATTTGGGTAACAGGGAGAAGAAAAAGAGAGAGAGAGAGGCAAAGAGAGAGGGGGGGATAGAGGGAGAGAGAGTAAGAGATAAAAGGGGAATAAACTATATATATGGGGAGAGAATTTCAATTGAACAACCACTAACCCCAACAAATGCTGTCAGCAGTACCTGGAGAATAATACAATCTACAACACCCCCAAATTTCCTACACAGGAAGGAAAACAGAAGTAATAAAATAACAACGAACAAAAATCAATCAAATAAGAAAATATCAAGCAACAGCAACAACAAAAGAATTAGCAAAATACTCTCACTAAAATGCATAAAAATACAATATAGTCATCATTCCCCCAAACAGCATCAAAAGAACAGTGAGGAAAACAATTTTTTTTTTTTTTTTTTTGCTAGTTAATACAGCTCAGAGAGGGGTGTGTATGCACTTGGCACAGGGGATTGGAAATTAGATATATAAGTAGAGTAGAAATTTTAGCTGGGGGGATACAGAAAGAGTAAGGAAATCTAAAACAGGAAAGGGTTAAGATAAACAGGATAGCAAAATGGGGAAGGTTAGGAAGAGAGTGATGGTGTAAAGGTCGTGTTGAGATAGGGTTAAACAATGTTAAAGGAGAAATGAAAATAAAATGAAGAACAGTAATTCCAATGTAAAATAAAGAGAAAATAAAATGGCACTAAAAAAAAAATTAAAATAGCAGAAGTAAAAATGCTTATTGAACCTAAAAATGTAATAGTTAAACAGTTAAAATCTAGTGAGGAAAAAATTGTTTCTTAAGTAAAAGATGCAAAAAAATGAAAAAAAAAATTTAGCAAAAAAAGTGTGCAGTTGTGAAGGCCATTCACTTCTGTTATTCTATTTGACACGCCTGTTTCTCAGTCCAGACCATATTGCAGTTCCCTGCATTCTGCTGCACCTCAGTGGCAATTCCTTAGTTTCTTGGTTTTTGATCAAATAAAACTATTAATAATAATAAACACAGTCAGTTTGTACTCCAGACCCTAGGTGGCAGTGTATGTGGATTGATGTCCCGTCTTTTTGGCTGCTCTAGCCTTCTTTATCCGTGGCACTCAATACTGTTTTTTGTTTGTTTGTTTGTTTGTTTGTTTTGCTTCGGAGCTGAAGCCTGGATGTTTTCTCCCTGCTCTGCTTCTCAGTTTCCAGAAAAGCAGTTTCTTCCTGCTGTCTCTTAGGGTCAGCCAATCTGGGTGATCTCTCCTTTGTAATCCGAAGCAAAGTGTTGCAGGGGAACCAGCCTAGGTGCGCGAAGGGCGAGTCTGCACGCACTTACAGACTGCTTTCCAACTCCTATGTTCTTTTACCGTGTCGGATCAGAATGGGTTGCTCCCTAGAGAACCCCACTAGTAGCAACCTTGGGGACCCCCGTCCACTCTCTCGAATCACACCAGACCCGGCAGTGGGGGGCTTCTGTGGACGCAGATTTCCGGGGTCTCAGCACGCGCTTTTGTCTCTGCCGCCCCAGTGGCCGCAGTGGCTGCCGCAGGGTTTGCTGCAGGTGCCGCTTTCACTTTCCTTGGGACACAGACACCCCGTGTCATCCCCAGCAAAATCCAACCTTTCTGTGGAATCCACGAGTCCGCGCCAGTCGAGGCCCCACAGCTGTGGTCCTTTCAAGTCTCAGGTAAGATCCCCCATTGCAGCACTGATATGGTTGTGGGAGGCAGTTCTTACAAGTGTTTACCTGGCCGCCATCTTCCAGGAAGTCTCCCAAACATTTTTTTTTAAACTGCTGATACCTGAAACATTTATATGAGGTTCAAAAATAGGCAAACTAATGGGTGGCTCTAGAAGTCAGAACAGTGGTTCCCCCGGGGTGGGGTGAGTGCTGCCTGGGGGCAGTCACAGGAAACCTGTTCTGTATCTTGGACGATGATGACATTCCTCCAGGTGAAGATGTAGAGCAACAAGATGGCGGTCTCTCCCCTGAAGAATTAAAATTTCTGAAAGAGTTCCCCATGATGAAAGCGGAACTAGAAGCAGTCATCAAAAAGCAACGTGCCATCGCAGATGACATTGACAAAACCCACAAAAAATTCACCCAGACCAACCTGGTGACCGACTCCATCGCTGTGGTCTCCGGGACCATGAACTTCCTGGGGCTGGCCCTCGCTCCGGTCACAGCCGGAGGAAGCCTGATGCTTTCTGCTGCTGGACAAGGCTTGGGGGCAGTGGCCGGGGCCACCAGCCTGGCGACCAGCGTTTTGGAATACCGTCACAATAAACAAGCCCAAGCTCAGGTCAGCAGCGAAGTGTCTGACTCTGACCAAAAGGTCAAGGAGGCTGTCAGCTGTATCAGGGTTGGAAAGACTGTCTATTGCTTTGGGAAAACCATCGAGAAAATTGAGAACAACATGCGGGCCTTGGAGTTAGTCAGAGCCTACCCGCTCCTGGCTGAGGCCGCAGAGCAGCTCCTCCTCACTGGCCAAGCCTCTGCCCGGACGACCAAGATTGTGAGGAGGGCCTTCAGAGGCACCCCGCTGGCGATGGGGACTAAAGCTCTCTTGAAGCACGGCGCCTTGGCTGGCCTCTTCCTCGGCATGGACATGAGCAGCCTCGAGAAGGACTGGAAGCAGCTGAAGGAGGGAGCCAAGACCGAGGAGGCGGACCAGCTGAGGGCCCAGGCTGAGGAGTGGGAGAGAAAGCTGGCAGTACTCACCCAGCTCTATGAGCACCTGCAGGTGAGGCTGGAGGGAGGGGAGAGGGACTAGGCCTCATGGGCACCCAGGGTTAGGGGAGGGTGTGAAGGAAGCCAGAGTGTGCAGTTTACATGGCTGCCCCTCGGACGAGGGCTCCTGGAGATGATGATGGTGCTCAGCCTAGACAGGCCCGGCCGTGCCTCTGTGTCTCCCTTATGTCTCTCCAGGCTCCTGGCCTGGGAAGAGGGCCTTCCTGGTTGTACAGACAGGACACTGAGCCACAGCGGGTGCTGGGGATGGAAATGTGTTCCCCTAAGACCCATCGCTCTGGAGACTGTTTGGAGATGCCGCTTTGGGGAGTGGTTGGGGTTGAATGAGGTCATGGCGGGGGAGAGGATTGGGGGGAGGGTTCATAATCCCTGACCAGAGACCCCGTTGGCCAGCACCTTGGTCTGGGCCCCGCTACCTCCAGAGCGATGAGAATCACACGTGGCTTTCTGTCACGGTGGCCCTGGCTGGCTGGGACAGGGAGCTCCTGTAACCTGCCCCTCTCTCCCAGGTGGAGCGGGTCACGATGAAGCTGGGAGGTGGCCTTCAGAGCTGGCCGGCTCTGCCCAGCTCTGCCCCAGAGCACTCCTGAGATGGACGGTTTTGTTTCTTTACATAAACTCTTGCAGGAAAGAAGCCTTAGGAACTCATCTTCCAAGGAAAAAGAAGGCTTTGCGATTTTGCCTCAGCCCCCAGCCAAACAAGGGGAAGCAGGCCCTCAGGTGACAGGTGAGGCGGAGGCTCAGCCAGAGGCTCAGCTCTGAGCGGAATCAAAGGGGCCGGGCCTGGCCGGGCGGGGTGGGCGGCAGAGAAAATGCCTGTGGACTTGCCAGCGGATTCCTTCCTGTGCTCTGGGGGTCCGGGCACTGTTACCTGGCGAGTGTTGTGAAGGTGAACCTGTCCTCTCTCCTCCATCTTCATTGCCCCTCGTTCCTGCAGGGAGGGGGTGGAGTGGGTGCTAACTCATGGCTTCCTCGGTCCCTGCGCACTCTCTCCCAGTGCTGATGAAAACAGTAGGGTCCCTGATGGGAAAGGTGTCACCGGAAAACAAAAAGGCCTTCTGAAGGGGGGAGAGGGGGAAACTATTGTATATTTGGGACCAGGAAGGATAGCTCCTGAGGAATCATGAATTCAGGCAGGAGCTCAAGTAATATTCTGATTAGGAGACAGAGGCCAGGGGTATCATGAGCCAGGGGAGGAGAACAATCACACCAATCGGAGGAAGGCGAAAGGAATTCTAGGGACCACACAGGCAGGCTTAGGGAATACAGAGGGTCCACGAGGGAGGATGCATATGGGAAGGACAGAGGTATCTCTCTGGCCTGAGCAATGAAGGCAATTTTAAGGTGGATCAGACACAGCCCTGACCTGAGCAGCCGGGAGAGCCACCTGGTTAATAACACTTCCCTTGGCCAAGATGACTGAGAGAGCCCTCAAGGAGATCCAAGCCACTCCAACCTGAGCAGGTAAGACAGGGATGTGAAGGACAGAGAAATGCCGCTGGAGAAGGGGATAAAGGAAAGTCACGGAGTACCGGGATGGAGGAAACCTGCTTTCTCGGAGAAGAGAGAAATGTCCACAGAATTGACGCTGGAAAGAGGGGACCATACTTTCACAGGAGATAGAGGAATGTTGCAAGATGAGGGGGAGTAAAGGAACGGGCACCACGTGAGCTTTGGACTTTGAAACAAAAGAGAGACCAATCAGGAGAGCACGGGGTCTGAACATGGGGAAGTGGCCCAATGAGAAAGGGTCAGGGTCACACCAAGAACTACAGCATTTATAAACTGGAGACACAGGTCACCAGGCAGATTTCAGATTTTAGATTTTTGGATGTAGATTTATTTATTTATTTTTTTTCCTATTAGAGAGAGAGCACGCGCGCGCGTGCGTGGGTTTTTCCCATTTGGGGCCCCCTCCCAAGGGGGACCCCTTTAGAGAACCCTCCCCCACACCTGCCCCCACCCCCTCCCACCTCTTACCCAGATGGAGTTTGTGTATGATAGATTAAATAGAGAAGACACACAGGCTTTATTGGAGGGAAGGGTACCCCTGCTGGTTGCTTCCATGGAGAGGTGTGGACTAGAGGGAGTGCTGGGGTACAAGCACCTTTAAGGATAGGGGGCGGGGCTTAGGGCACTCAGCACACTCTGATTGATTAGGGACCTAGGGACTTAGGAATGGGGGCTTAGGGTATTTGGCAGGTGCTGATGGGTGGTTCAGAGCTCAGGAATGTCTGGCCGCAGGTGGGGTTTATGTCTGTCCATCAACTGAAGTAAGGGAGGATCTATCAGTATACGCTTCCGATAAACTTCCACATTTTTTTTTTAATTAAAGAAGTATTTTTGTCCATGAGTTTGTTCTTCAAACTTTGTTGTACAAGAACCCACGAGAAGAAGTCTGTGCCCCGAAGCCCACATTTCCTAGGCATTTCCATTGGTGCAGACGACATCCCATAAGGAAGATAATTCTAAGCAATGTTATTTAATTCCCAGTCCGGTGGTCCTCTGTCCGGTGGTCACTCGTCCAGGTGTCACAGTGACTGCTGTCTGCTGATCGCTGCAAGCAGGTTTTTCCGTACAAGATCGCCGAGGCCCCTTTAACACTGCAAAGGGCTGAGGCACATGGCACGCAGGCAGGTCCTCAGGGATGGCAGCTCCAGCTCCATTTTCAAGGGGCTCCGTTTATATGATCCTTCACTAGGGTTTGCAGTGTGGTTCCTTCCTCATCAGCTCACCGGCTATACCCCCCCCCCCCTCCACCCCTCCAGCAGCAACCACAGCAATGGCTGGATAGGATCCTTTGTCTGCACACAGAGGGACTGGAACCTGCTCCACCAGATTCCATCCGGGAAGGGAGAGGCCCTGTCATCCCCAAGACCATCCCCCCACCCCCAACCCCCCACCCCCATTCCAGGCCTCCTTCTGACCTCCTTAGGAACAGTGTGCACCTTCCTGCCTTCCCCGCTCACCTACATATGCTTGTTAGCTGCTCTCTTGAAAGCAGTGCATTGCCATTAAATACACTTTTTTTTTTTTAATTCCAGAACGTAAAAAAAATAAAATAAAAACAGGGTGTGGGTGCTAACATGCTTACTGGCTTCTGTGGCTGTCATGAGCCTGCCTGCTGGGGACCTCCCTCAGGCTGTGTTAGAACATAGGGGTTTTTTGTTTTTTTTCTTCCTGAAACCACTGGGTTTTCTCGTTCTGGGCGCTCTCCTTCGCCTGCAGATCTGTGACTTTTCCTTGTGCTGCTTTCCGTCCGCCATATTTTCTCCCGTTCAGTGTTCCGCCTGGCTCTTATGAACACTGCGGGTTTAGGTTGTAAAATAGTCTCTTGCCGGTGCGTGCAGTCTTTTCATTAGACATGTGTTAGTCTGCACTCTGTCCAAACCAACTCAAACTGGCCTCTGATAGGTCCTCCCTTCCCATCAGGACAGACGTAAACCCCACCTGCAGCCAGACATTCCTGAGCTCTGAACCACCCATCAGCACCTGCCAAATACCCTAAGCCCCCTCATCCCTAAGTCCCTAGGTCCCTCATCATAGGCCTTACATGAAGCCACCAATCAGGGTGTGCTGAGTGCCCTCAGCCCCGCCCCCTATCCTTAAAGGTGCTTGTACCCTGGTTCTCGCTCTCTTCAGTGCTCTCTCTCTCTCTGAAAGCAGCTGGCAACAGTACCCTTCTCTCCAATAAAGCCTGTGTCCTGCCATCCCAGTCTCCGGCTACCCTCTTTATTTCATCTTTTAGCCTCTACTTAGAAGGCTCAGGGTAACAAGTGGCTTTCGTGTGTCAGGAGCCAGAGGATAACAGTGATGCCATCAAGCCTCGGGCTTCACTTCCCAGACTTCCCCCACCTGCAGGCAGGCAAGAGGGCCCCAGCTCCCCCAGAGACGCCCCTCCCACCTTGAAAGAGGCTGGCCAGGAGCCCAGAGGCCCACTCTGATTGGCCACCAGCCTTTGTCTGGGTGCTGCTGGCACCTAAAGGGTCTGGGATTGGGGACGAAGCAAGAAGCTAGAACTGAGGTCGGCAAACTGCGGCTCCCGAGCCACATGCAGCTCTTTGGCCCCTTGAGTGTGGCTCTTCCACAAAATGCCACGGCCTGGGCGAGTCTGTTTTGAAGAAGTGGCCTTAGAAGAAGTTAAGTTTAAAAAAATGTGGCTCTCCAAAGAAATGTCAATTGTCTTCCTGTTGATAGTGGGCTCTGTGGACTCATGAGTTTGCCAACCACTGGGCTAGACGACCACATGATGCACTAGATGCACCTTCCCTTTCAGAAACACTTAGGTGGGTTCAGATTTCTGATTGTCGGTGGTGGCAGGATGAGAAGGTGGTTTATCCCAAAAGCTGCGGCAGGGTTGTTAGAACTCTTTTCTGAGAGTAGACTCTCTGAGCGGGGATCCGCAAATGAAGAATGAGCTCAAGAAGGGGCAGGAGTCCCCCCTCCCGGGTTCCCCCCCCCCCCATCACATCAGTGAAACAGCTGCGGGAACTTGGGAAGGAGGGGACAGGGGGAGGGGAAAGACACATCAACGTTTTGGATGGCACCTGCCAGGCCTGCGAGCCGGGGTGCTGAGCAGCGGTGACCCCGCCGGGCTACTGTGTTTTCAGCTTTGGTTGCTCTCTGCTCCTTGCTTTACCTTTTTCTGAGCTCAGCGGTGAGTGACAGCTCTCTGAAGCCTTTTCTCTGGTCTCTCAGTGCGGGAGCTCCACAGGGCGCCAATCACACACGCTCCCCAGGAACATGTGGCCGGTGGCACAGGCGGCACCAGCGGCACAGATTGCAAGGCGGCACAGGCGGCACCAGCGGCACCGGCAGCACAGATGACACAGGTGGCTCCGGCTGCACAGGCGACACAGGCGGCACAGAAGTCACAGGTGACACAGACGGCACAGAAGATACAGAAGGCACACATGGCATCGGCAACACAGGCGGCACAGATGGCACCAGCGACACAGGCGGCACAGGCAGCACCAGCGGCACAGAAGGCACCAGTGGCACAGACGGCAAAGGCAGCACAGGCGGCAACAGCGGCACAGATGGCACAGAAGGCACAGAAGGCACAGAAGACACCGGTGGCACCAGCGGCACAGATGGCACAGGCGACATCGGCGGAACAGCCAGCACCAGCAGCACAGATGGCACAGGCGGCACCAGCGGAACAGGTGGCACAGGCGGCACAGGCAGCACAGAAGGCACAGGCGACACAGGCGGCACCAGTGGCGCAGGCAGCACAGAAGGCACAGGTGGCACCGATGGCACAGGCAACACAGGCGGCACAGGCGGCACCGGCTGCACAGGCGGCACAGGCAGCACCAGCGGCGCAGGCAGTACAGGCGGCACCAGCGGCACAGAAGGCACCGATGGCACAGGCGACACAGGCTGCACAGGCGGCACAGACAGCACAGAAGGCACAGGTGGCACCGATGGCACAGAAGGCACCAGCGGCGCAGGCGGCACCAGCGGCACAGAAGGCACCGATGGCACAGGCAACACAGGCGACACAGGCTGCACAGGCGACACAGGCAGCACAGAAGGCACAGGTGGCACCGATGGCACAGAAGGCACCAGTGGCGCAGGCGGCACCAGCGGCACAGGCGGCACAAGCAGCACCGGTGGCACAGAAGGCACAGGTGGCACCGGTGGCACCGGCTGCACAGGTGGAACCAGCGGCACAGAAGGCCCAGAAGGCACAGGCGGCACAGAAGGCACAGGCAACACAGGCGGCACCAGTGGCGCAGGCAGCACAGAAGGCACAGGTGGCACCGATGGCACAGGTAACACAGGCGGCACAGGCTGCACAGGCGGCACAGACGGCACAGAAGGCACCAGCGGCGCAAGTGGCACCGGCGACACCAGTGGCACATATGGCACAGGCGACACAGGCAGCACAGAAGGCCCAGAAGGCACAGGCGGCACCGGTGGCACCGGCTGCACAGGTGGAACCAGCGGCACAGAAGGCACAGATGGAACAGGCGACACAGGCAGCACAGATGGCACAGGTGGCACCGGCTGCACAGGTGGCACAAGCGACACAGACGGCACAGGCAGCACAGGCAGCACATGCGGCACCAGTGGCACAGGCGACACAGGCCACACAGGCGGCACAGAAGGCACAGGCGGCACAGAAGGCACAGGCGGCACAGAAGGCACCAGCGGCGCAAGCGGCACAGATGGCACAGGCGACACAGGCAGCACAGATGGCACAGGTGGCACCAGCGGCACAGATGGCACAGAAGGCCCAGAAGGCACAGGCGGCACAGGCGGCACCAGTGGCGCAGGGAGCACAGGAGGCACAGGTGGCACCGATGGCACAGGCAACACAGGCGGCACCGGCTGCACAGGCGGCACAGGCAGCACCAGCAGCGCAAGTGGCACCGGCGACACCAGTGGCACAGATGGCACAGGCGACACAGGCAGCACAGAAGGCACAGGTGGCACCGATGGCACAGAAGGCACCAGCGGCGCAGGCGGCACCAGCGGCACCAGCGGCACAGATGGCACAGGCGGTACAAGCAGCACCGGTGGCCCAGAAGGCACAGGCGGCACCGGTGGCACCGGCTGCACAGGTGGAACCAGCGGCACAGAAGGCACAGATGGCACAGGCTGCACAGGTGGCACAAGCCACACAGACGGCACAGGCAGCACAGGCAGCACATGCGGCACCAGTGGCACAGGCGACACAGGCGGCACAGAAGGCACAGGCAGCACATGCGGCACCAGTGGCACAGGCGACACAGGCCACACAGGTGGCACAGAAGGCACCAGCGGCGCAAGCGGCACCGGCGACACCAGTGGCACAGATGGCACAGGCGACACAGGCAGCACAGATGGCACAGGTGACACCAGCGGCACAGAAGGCACAGGCGGCACAGGTGGCACCAGCGGCGCAGGCAGTACAGGCGGCACCAGCGGCACAGAAGGCACCGATGGCACAGGCAACACAGGCGACACAGGCTGCACAGGCGGCACAGACGGCACAGAAGGCACCAGCGGCGCAAGTGGCACCGGCGACACCAGTGGCACAGATGGCACAGGTGACACAGGCAGCACAGAAGGCACAGGTGGCACCGACGGCACAGAAGGCACCAGCGGCACAGGCGGCACCAGCGGCACCAGCGGCACAGATGGCACAGGCGGCACAAGCGGCACCGGTGGCACAGAAGGCACAGGCGGCACCGGTGGCACCGGCTGCACAGGTGGAACCAGCGGCACAGAAGGCACAGATGGAACAGGCGACATCGGCGGAACAGCCAGCACCAGCAGCACAGAAGGCACAGATGGCACCGGCTGCACAGGTGGCACAAGCGACACAGACGGCACAGGCAGCACAGGCAGCACATGCGGCACCAGTGGCACAGGCGACACAGGCCACACAGGCGGCACAGAAGGCACAGGCGGCACAGAAGGCACCAGCAGCGCAAGCGGCACCGGTGACACCAGTGGCACAGATGGCACAGGCGACACAGGCAGCACAGATGGCACAGGTGGCACCAGCGGCACAGAAGGCACAGGCGGCACAGAAGGCACAGGCAACACAGGCGGCACCAGTGGCGCAGGCAGCACAGAAGGCACAGGTGGCACCGATGGCACAGGTAACACAGGCGGCACAGGCGGCACCGGCTGCACAGGCGGCACAGATGGCACAGAAGGCACCAGCGGCACAGAAGGCACAGATGGAACAGGCGACATCCGCGGAACAGCCAGCACCAGCAGCACAGAAGGCACAGATGGCACCAGCTGCACAGGTGGCACAGGTGACACAGACAGCACAGGCGGCACATGCGGCACCGGTGGCACAGGTGACACAGGCGACACAGGTGACACAGGCGACACAGGTGACACAGGCGGCAAAGAAGACACAGGCGGCACTGGTGGCACAGGCGACACAGGCAGCACAGATGGC